CAAACGGAGAATTTCCCCATGTTGTACATTTCGATGAAAAGGCCGAAGTTGAGAAATACATCCGTAGCTTGCCAATTAATAGCTCGTTCTTTTCTGCCGGCTGTTTTATGCAAAACTTTTCAACCATGCTCAAACCACAACCAGTAGGCGATGGGAAGTACACCATGTTCAATGTTTTGAGACCGGATACTGAAATCCCTTATTTCGACACAGAAGATACTGGTAGGTTTGTGGGGGTTATTCTTAATGAGCCAGAAAAGTTTCACGGAAAGATTCTTAATGCGGCTAATGGCTTGTATTCGTATGAAGCTATTGCTAAAATAATCAGCAAGGATACTGGGAAAGATGTGAATTACCAACAAATACCAGTAAATGCATTTAAAGAACAAATACCAGAGCCAATTGCTTTAGAGATTACGGAAATGTTTCAATTCTTCGATAAATATAATTACTATGGTCCCCAAACGAGGAAAAAGGTCGAATGGGGAATGCAGCAAGTTTCCGACAAACTTAGTACGTTCGAGGAGTTTTTCAAGAGGAATCCTCTCGGATTGGAATAATCTAAGAGTTCAACACTGATTGTTCATGATCGAGATCTTATTTAGTCGATATCAAAAATATACTTCAAATAGTTGTACATTATGTAATAACTTTGTTTGATGATATGAAGGGTTTTTTATCAGTCTTCAGTAGATGTCATTCGCATAGACTATATGGTACAGAGTTAATTTTTTCTTCGATGCTCTTTTATAAACTAGTAGGACACCTTTCTGAGGTCGTATTATCAGCTATCAACTGAACATTGATTGTATACGTGTATTCCGTAAGTTGATGCAAAAACGATAGTGTATGAGACGTTTTTGTAACCATCGTATCTCGATGCAGAAGTGCAATAGTAGGTGTTGGTTACTGTGAAATGGAAGACAGGAATAATGAAAGCGAGGGTCAAATTCACTGATGTTCAATTGGTTAATATGGGGCAGACAAAATGGATTAAGTATAACGAAATGATACTGAATAATTGCAAAAATCTCGAAGTGTCGGTTGCGAAAATTACCAATTTATCCCGAGTAAAGTAGTATCAAATTGCGTGGTACAAAATAAAATGCACATAATTGTCCTGATAACTTTGCTACAAGAACAAAGTGAACTGATTTTAAGAGAGGCCTATCGTCCAGTTATTCACACAAATCCCAATCCTATCACAAGATGATCTCCCTGTTCACTGCCACACGTCGTATAGCCTCGCCTCTGCCGTATGAATAGGCCACAATGCTACGTAAGGGACATCTGCGAAAGCAACAAAGGTGCGCATGTAAAATGTGTTGTCCTTATCGAGTTGTTCGTACATTTCTCGTGACACGGCAGGCCATCGTCATGTCGAGAACTCGATGGAAAACCTGGCGACCCAACAACGCAAAACATAGCAAACTTAGCAAGGATGAAAAGCAAACCTGGGCCAGTGCAACCCAAGCTACCCACATTTGACCATGACTCCCCTCGACTCTGCACGAATTATTCGGTGCATTCCGGTGTGCTGATGCACGCGTCATGGATGACCGGCGGCGACCAACCATACCCCGATGGCACCGCAAGTCACGTGGCCGGGATCCGGATGAATTTAAAGGAGCCGTGCCGGGTAACCGCTGATTTGTCGTGGGGGCCTCCGATTTCAACCTCCCCATTCGACCGCTCAGCCAATCGTATCACGTATTACTCAAGTATCTCTATTAAAAAGTAATATAGCTACGTTTACTACAACCACTCTATCACAACCACACTCATACATATACTCTGAATTATTCTGCACACCCTGCACCATCGACACACTATACACACACTTCAACTACACTACAACTACATTACAACTACGCTACAACTACACTTCTACCACATCTATCACCACCCAGTCTGTCCAACTACCTTTGGCAGCCGTTGCGCGGGGCCTGCGTGATGTGTACGGCATTTTTGCCGTCACGGACACTACCATACCGCACTCGCACCTATTACCATTAGCATCGTCCGCACTGGGTTCTCTGGCACGCCACTATTGTTCTCCGAGTCGACTATCGCTAAATGCGTCGGTGGACACCTTGGGCGCACGCCCAAGAGGCGCGCCTCCACCAATTTCAACACCAATCACCATTTCGATTACTGGTACTGCGTCGTCTGTATCGCACAATATTGGCCAATTTTGTCGATACTGTATCCATTCCGTCACACTACGCATATCCACACATATCCTACACATACCTAATTATATCCTTCACGTACCCCCAAATTGTGCCTAAACCGGTCTACAATCTGTATCACAAAATGTACCTCATTGTACCCAAACTGTACCATTCTGTAATTATTCTCGTACTTTCCCTGTCCGCCTCCAGTTACATGACCTCTTATGTAATTATACGCCGTTTGATCGCCTATTGCCCTCTTGCCCCCAGTACGCTACTAACTATGCAACCACTTCGGGTGAACCATTGGAGACTTCGACGTTGGCTCGTTGGTCTGAGCACTTGGGCCACTGAAGGGAACATGACACAAAGTCATAGGGGGGCTAATAAAAAAAATACTCGAATTAGTACTCAGTCGGGAATGATTGGATTATCTACATATATGGGAATTATCCCTTTATTTTTCCATATAACTTTTTATCGATATATTTGACTATCGGATTATTTGTATATTATCAAAGTGATAACATACCGAAGCTGATTGCAGATTATAGATACAATACAAACGTTAGCGCTAGAAATCGAAAAAGCGGTATTAGGTTATTTTTGATCGATTGTATTGATTATTATTGATTGTTACATTAAATTGTCACAACAACAACATTGAAGTCGTACAACAGCAGTTATTGGTATGGCATCACATAATCACAATAGGAATGGGCTTTCCCTATTTTCGTTCAAGCTGGGCTCCAACGGGTCGAGTAAGTCGTCGGTGAAGGGCGGCGAGAGCACGTCTCCTACAAACCGGTCGATTGAGAACCATCAGTTGTCGTCACCGGTGAATTCGCCTGTGTTGATGGGCGATGAGGCGAGCGACGTGGTCAGCGAGGCCAATAGCGATATTTTTGAGCGTTCGGTTCAAGATTCGTGCACAGACCTCCACCTGGCCCACTCACAGCCAAAATGCAACCGTTGCACCACTAACAGGTCGAGGAGCTGTACGCACAACTCGTCGCTCTCGTTGCAGGGTGGGTTGAAGAATGAGGATTTCATTCCGCCGGCCATCGATGCCACCACGTCCATTTTGAGCGACGAGGACACAAACCTCGACGATATCGAGATGGTGTATTCGAACAGAAGAAACTCATCGGTCATCGGCCTCAACATGGCTCTCGGTAGACCATTTGGCACCTCCAGAAAGAACTCGACCTATTCACTCCAGCTGAGCCAGCCTCAGGCGGCACAACAGACACAGTCTCCCATTTCTCCTCCAAAATTGACGTCTTCCAAGTCGTCGTTGAGCTTCTATTCATATGCTGACATGATCAACAACGAGGAAATGCAAAGGAGACCTTCTTTCAAACAATCATACTCATATTCCCAAAATTCTTTCCCCCTTAAGAAAAAATCGCATGTTGGCTCGATTCCTCCTCCTTACAAGAAATCGGGTCAATCTTTGTTGTCGAAAGAGTTATCGGCAAAAAACCCCTCTACTACTGCATCACCCAACCAATCATTTTCCAACCAGAATTTTTTAATTCTGCCTGAATCGTCGGATTCGGAACATGAGAACTATTTTCAGGGTAAACGTAAGTCAATCTCATCTAACATCTCTTCGAGCTCGAAGCCTAATAACTTGAGGTTCGATAATGATAATGAAAGTTTAGTTTCAAGCTCGGTCGGTGATTGTTTAAGACAATCCACCACCGAAATTAACGGTAATTAAAATAGGTGTTCGGGCTCCTCCATCTGGTATCAAATTGTTAGATTGGTTGATTTAATTTTTTATGTGTATGTCTTCTTGACGGTTTATTTCTTGGTTTATCTTTATTGTATTTTAGTTTGTATTTTAAATTGAATAATTAGTATTACATACAATTTATTATATTTATCAATTTCCAGATTCAAGACACTTGGTCCTTTCACCACGACCTTCCCATCCGCTATATGACCAAAACACTCCAACTACGATACATTACGATGTACATATTATGATACTACATAGTACATATATTGGCTGCATGCGATTTCTGATTATCGTAAAACTGTTCGTTACATTTGTGCTGCTTACAATTATCTACAGTTGTACAGTCTAATCTGTCCTATTCATGCATTGGGTAGTATACAATATTAACCTAAATAATTCTTTCTATTACCGGTTCTGATGAATCTTCTCAATTGCCATTCGACTTCGCTATCCTTATTATCAAGCAATCCTAATCTCAACTCATACAATCTCATTTCAAATCTAGGACCCACCTCACTTAGTTCAACTGTATCCTTCGTTTTAACATACATGTGATGTCTTACCGAAATAAAATCATCATTATTAATAAACGTAATAACTCTAGAAGAGTCCTTTTTAACTCCAGGTGGAAATAAATGCTTCATGATTTTTACAACTCTCTTACCCAATTCACTCGTGAAGTTTTCAAATATCAAATGTGGGTACGATTCTGAAGAATTACCGATTTCTGGTAAATCGTGTCTTAATTTGACGTTGTGCAATGTAAAAATGATACTTGGTCCATGTGGGAAATGTGATATGGTTAATGAGGTTGGTATACCTCTATGTTCATGCAATATTATCAAATCACTTATTTGAACTCTCTGACATGTGGCAACTAAATCAGTTATCACATAGTTACCTCTATTTAACTTGATCGAATTTGGAAACATAAGTTTAATCTCTTTGGAAAATTGCAAGAGCTTGACAGATGGATTTCTAGATGTGGTGATTAAAACTTTTGGCTCACTTATACCAGATAATGCCAGATATTCATCATCTATTTCAGTCTGTTCACTTTCGTCGTAGATAAAATCTTTTTGTAATTCTTTGTCTTCTGCTAATTCTTTAGACAATGGTTTACCAGAAGCCAAAGCTGCCTTCAACTGCTGTCTTTTCTCCGTTAAACTGGATTCTTGTAACTCAAGAGACTTTCTGTATAAATATTCTCTTCTTTCTCTTGCTTGTTTCCTAATCATCGTTGTCGTTGTGGTAAATGTAAAAGCTAATGATTTACTACAAAGAATTTTTTTTAAAATAGATGCGAAGAGGTAGATTAAAAATATCGCAAAAAAAAAAAACCGTTTCTAAAATTTACAATGTCGCTCGAATCAGATTATTAAGTGATATTTATGCTATTATGCTAAGTCTTCCATTTCGTGTGACTCGGTAGTAACTACGTAATGTGGAGTTTCTGGCTTGGGTTTGCTTGACCTTACTGATGATTTTCTTCTACCTAAGATGTTGGTATTATCAAAGCCAAAACTTGAAGCCCTTCTAGTAAACGCTCTTGTGAATGCATTCCCATCATCCGAGCTATTTGATGTTTCCATTGTTTGATGTCTTCTGATAGCATGATTCTCTTGAAGATTATCACGTTTTTGCATATTGTCATCTGGTAGCATGATAGCTCTATCTAATGCATAGGGCAAACCTCTGTGCCTGCCTCTGATGACCATTGCGATCATAACTAATTTAGATAATACTGTAAATTCTCCCGATAATGAAACATCGACGCCCGGGTATCCCAAGGATAATCCAACCGTACCATATGCACTTATAATTTCGAATAATATCGTGAAAACCGAGAATCTATAGTTATTCTTATTTAGTTTTGGACCTTCAGCAATACAAATAATAAAAAGTCCCAAAAAAATGAACCATAAATCAAAAGATAATTGATTTCTTAAATGGGCTCCTATAAAATTCTTAGGAGTTTTGTCATCTGGTGTATTTTCATTGTCGTCATTATTATCCTTTAAATAAACACCTAATGATTGTTCTTCATAAACGTTGGTTCTTCTGATCGATATAGCCAATGGTAAAACAGAGATATACATCATTAACATGTAACTCACCTGGACTGCTGGATGCAATTCTGACAAATCAACTACTGCAAAGCCAGCAGTTCTGGTACTAAAGGCTTGGAATAATCCATCCATAACTCTCAACCCTACGGGAGTACCTTCCAAGTATTTATTGTTCAAGTCAAGGACAATAAATAAAATTAAATCAACTGCATTCAATACAACAAGAATAATAAATAACCACCAAGTGGGCACTGAAGGAAATAATAAGGTGAAACATCTTCTTGGATGGTCCAATAAAAAACCTAAAGATTCGTTAAATAATGACATCGGCTTAGACAACTTAAATAAAAGCCAAATAATAAAACGCAACATGACAGGAAATCCGGTGTTCCCAATAACAATGAAAAAAGCCATAATTACCATAACATAAACAGATTTATCAAAACTTTGCATAGAATTAGGTGTTAAAGTATGCCCCAAATCATTAAATGCTGATTGGGCAGTAAAAAATGCCCACCACGTTGGAGTTATACCGACCTCAGTCACATCTGCTTTATATACTGGCTGATATAAAATATATGGCAATAAGCATGTAAATGCTAAGATATGAAACCCAATATAATATATTACAATAATCTTGATAAGTAGTTTAATTGCTCTATACTCAACACCACCTAATTCTTCCTTTTGTTCTTCACTTAGATGTACAAACGTCGAATTTCTTCCGACAGTCGGCACCCAAGATAAATAATTGGTACTCATTACTTTCAGAAGTGATTTTCCATCTTCTTCTTCATCATCATTAACCTCGTCCGAATCATCCGAATCGTCATAATCTGAATCGTTATTATAATTTGGCGAAAACAACGAAGAACTTAATCCTACTGTTGGAGATTTCATATACTTCAATTTGTGTTTTTTTGTCTGTTTTGGCTTGTTTTTCTTTTTCATTTTGCTTTTTATCATTCTCTCAAACGTTGGAGAATGAGACAATTCGTGGTTTTCTCCTGGAGTCACATCTAACGTATTAGATCTTTTGGTAAATTTTTTCCCACCAGTTGCGTCGGAAGAAGGAATTACTAAATTAGATTGGGCTCTTTCAATATCATCAAGATTATCATCATCGCGAGTCTGTCTATTGTGTTCATTACCGTCATCATCTCCGTCATCCTCATCATCTTCGTCGTCTTCGTCTTCATCATCACCATCATCTTCGTCGTCGCCATCATCGTCAATTATTGCATTATCGTCATCAGCATCCGTATCAGTTGTCCTATTATTGGTTTCGGAATCAATAGACTGATCGTCATCGTCATTACTTAACAGAGTAAATGATAAACTTCGTACATGTTTGCGGGGACTTGCTCCACTATTGGAAAATGTCTTCTTCAACTTTGACCATGGTTGTCTACCTCTGGAAAACCTTCGCTTTTTCTTCCATTTTCTAATTGGCTTATCATTTACATTGAAATGAATCTGGGATTTTTTTGTAAAAATAGGATTTTGACTGTCTTTCTCAATCTCATTGGGTGACTTAATAATTAAAACATCATCTTCATCACCAGTGTCCTTACGTTCGGATTTATGATTATCCTGGAGCATAGCAATAGACATATACATATCGGAAGGCTCAATTTCTTTCTGGCGAATTTTAGATGGCTGGGGCAAATTACCAAATCGAATTCCATCGAGCGATCTTGAGGGACTTTCTGGTCGACTTAGCTCAATTGGGTTCCTGGAATCTGGTGCCACGCCAGAAGATATATCTGAGTCATTTGGTTCGCTTATATGATCAACATTATTTGAATTGATACTCGGATTTTGAGGAGGACTCGAATGTTTGCTAGCAGGCAGGGTCGAAGAAGAATTGGAGAAAGTTACTTCATCAGTAACAGGTTCAAGACCAGAATTTTGCGGATTGTTAAATCCTAATCCTCTATTAACTTCGGTATTTAACCTTGTTGGATCTAGAGATTGTGTCCTTGCAGCTAGCGTCGCGTTTCGTCTCATCTTGTTATTTAACTTAGAACGTTCTTTAATATTGTCAAAATGCCTTTCAAACCAATACAATCTAATAAATAATAATGAACCGTGAATAAAAATTGGAGTTGTAAGAGTCGTGATGATATAGATTAGAATTTGCTGGTATAATGCCAAACGATTCAAATTCACAGTATTAAGGCCGGCTTGTGTACTTGCACATCCAGTAAAAAACAATGCATCAATGTACCTAATATTCCGAATAGGATAGAATATCACTGACCCAAGAAACGTCATGAATAAGATATACGTATAGTGAGCCGCCCTGAAATTGGGAATTACAACTTTGACATATGGATATATTACTTCTGTAGTCCGATGAATTGCGTTTCTAATTTTAAATCCTGTATCACCGTGAACTCGGTGCCTCTTATACGAATGCCATAACTTGCTAACCCTGTTCATTTTTCTTTTTATTTATATATTAGGTATAGATTCAACAATTCATTAACAAATTCCTCTGACTCTCCAAATATGAATAAAACTGATGCTAAGAATGGGATCAAATGACCACTTTCTTTATAACTAATGAAAAGCTATCTACCAATGTTAAATGATCGTGTTATTTGGTTTGTCAAATATCTTCTGTCTTCATGAAGGTTATTATTTACTTCCAATATTATGATAAGCCTTCTAATTATTTTCAAGTAGAAAATTTTTGTTTTGTGTAATTATTAAATTTTGAATAATTTGACATCTGCAATGAATTTTATTGTTAACATTTTAGGGGCGTTAACCTAGTGGGGAACATTAATATGGTTGTATTAAGAGACGTTAGGATATTTTTGTATATTATTAAGCAAACTCTTCAAAATATTAATGACTAGAATTTGAACTTTGACTTGTAAGAACTTATACGATTTGCATTTGTGATTGTTTTTCATCTTTTTGCAATTTAATGATAATAAGGAAAAAATGTATATTATTAATTATTGATTAAAAGCAGAATGCTATATGTATTAGTGCTCGTAAAAGAAAAATATGGTCTAAAACTTAGAGCTAATTGTATTATATTTTATATTGTATGACGAATTATTAATTGGTGTTGAAGCTTTCAGGAGTTCTCAATCCGTACTTAATTAGAGCCTTCTTCCTCATATTCTCACCAAAATAGATTAATACAACTCCGCAGACTGCACCAATCCATAAGACAAATGCACTGATTGTACAGCTCCAACCTACACCTATGTTTTCAATGCTTCTTAAACATGTCGCAGATGCGACGGCTGCTGCAATATAACGGGAGAAGTAGCTACTTCCAATACCGTCACCCCCTAATTCAGGCATCGAATCCACACAGTAAGTATTTGCAGCCGGGAATATACAGGTTTGTGCAACTCCACTGATAAACATGAAAATGACGGGAACGGCGATTCCACCTTTCTCTTTTTCCACAGACCAGCCGTATATGAGCATACATGCCGGATAGACAATGCCAATAGGTATGAGGATCGTCCTTAATCTATCTTCAGGGACTCTTCTTCCTCTGATTTTAATATATTTCTTGACTGTATAGTCTGCCCATCGCCCACCAAACAAACTTCCAACTAGATAACCTACACCCGGAGGTAAATAAAAAAGAGCACTCAAGATAGGCGAAGTCAAGTCGAATCTAGGGTCCATAACATATCTGATGGGTGTCAATAATGAATACATTGTGAAGACAACTGAAATTGTAATAAACCCATCTATAGATAAATTTGGATATTTTAATGCCGTCATAATTCGTAAAGGATTATAGGTGATAAACACAAATTTTTTCTTCGGGTTATCTTTTCTAGCTTCTCGAAGCACTATTTGATGCTTTGTTTCTAGCGATGTTTCTGGTAAGAAAATAAATGCCATTCCCATAACAACAAATCCAATTCCTGCTAATACAAAGAAAATAACACGCCAGGATGTAAAATTAACAATTATACCACCACCAACACTTCCTAGCGCCGTACCGAATTGAGCACCCATTATAATGATGCTCATGTACGTACCTCTTTCTGTCGGAACATATAAATCGCCAACGATGTGGGCACCAATACTGAAAAACGCAGTACCAAACAATGCTGTTAATGATCTGAATACAAAGAACATTGCAAGGTGAGGAGAAACTGCTACTAGAATAGAGCAGACTGAAAAAAGGCAGGAGCAAACCAAAAACGAAAACCTTCTACCATAGATATCCGAAAAAGGCGAAAATACACATGGAGATAACGACATAAACACACAGTAGACGGCACTTGAAACATTAATGATTTCACCAGTGGTATTATATTCTTTGGCCATCTCAGGAATTGCTGGTAAAAATGCTAACGAAGACAAAGGTGATAAGAAACCTGACACGGCTGCAATGAGAATGCATATCTTCTTTGTTCTATTACTAAATCTCGCAGTTTTGGTATCATTGGATGTAGCATCTATATCTGAGTCATTACTATTCTCATCGGCCAAACCCTTTTCTATATCTCGGTCTGGGGAAACTTGTTGTTCTATGCAATGGTCTTCATCTTCTTGTGCAGGTAACCTTGAGTTACTAGATCTCCTAGATTGTATCCTAGAGATCAGTCGATGTACTGCTTCATCAGTGACACTGGTTAACTCCAACGGAATAGTCTCATTGAACACGTTAGGTTGTGATTCGTGAAATGATTCTTCAGCCAGTTCTAACAGTGATGTCGAACGACTAGACATTGTAAATGATTTTTTCTTCCTATAATAAATACGTTATTGAATGTTACGATTACTCAAATATCATTTATCCAGTCTCTGTAATCAATATGGAGTATCATTCATTCTTTATATTCTTAAAAAGAAGTTTGGCCAAATGGGAACCTTTTTTTTTTCCAATCGCTGCATCCCGGAGTAATTAATCCCCCCACATATATACTCCTCAACTTTGCGACTAAAATTTACGATTCTATAAGTAGATAATTGAACTTTTATTATCTCCCAAAATGCTTAATAACAAACTATTGATTCAATAAAGTTACGAATGAAATGTATGTGTTAATCGTGATAGACTATAATACTCCTTATCGTAATTTAAATTTATCATTATATATCAGCGTTACTTCTGTTATTATTCTGATGACATTCGTTTTCGCACTTGCAGATTAGGAACTGGATAAGAGCCTTGGATATCTGAATATATAACAATATGTAAATTAGCTATACTATAGGGAAAGCCGGTTAAACCCGTCAAAATTGTGCGGGTAGTCCCGGATTTGCAGCCTTTATGCATAAACTACTTTTTGATGATACTTCTAATTGGATCTGGATCATATTTCTATTTAGTAGCAAAATGATAACTCCGAAGAAATGACGAGAAGGACACGGAAATGGAAATAGAACTGGAAATGGAAATTGAACTGGTAATGGAAAATCAACCTAGTCGTTCATGATAATTTTGCTATTTACTGCTATTCTAAGAATAGGAACTTTAAAAGTGAATCTACGAGAAATGAACATCACTCGTTCAATTCTAGTCAAATCTCTCAAGCGTACGTAATCTATACCTAATTAAAGCTTTCTTCCTCATATTCTCACCAAAATAGATTAATACAACTCCGCAGACTGCACCAATCCATAAGACAAATGCACTGATTTTACAGCTCCAGCCTACACCTATGTTTTGAATGCTTCTTAAACATGTCGCAGATGCGACCGCTGCTGCAATATAACGAGAGAAGTAGCTACTTCCAATACCGACACCCCCTAATTCAGGCATCGAATCCACACAGTACGTATTTGCAGCCGGGAATATACAGGTTTGTGCAACTCCACCGATAAACATGAAAATGACGGGAACGGCGATTCCACCTTTGTCTTTTTCCACAGACCAGCCGTATATGAGCATACATGCCGGACAATGCCAATAGGTATGAGGACCGTTCTTAATCTATCTTCAGGAACCCTTCTTCCTTTGACTTTAATATATTTCTTGACTGTATAATCTGCCAAACGGCCCCCAAATAAGCTTCCAACTAAATAACCAAGACCGGGAGGTAGATAAAAAAAGAGCACTCAAGATAGGCGAAGTCAAATCAAATCTGGGATCCATAACGTATCTGATTGGTGTTAATAATGAATACATTGTGAATATTAACGAGATAGTAATAAACCCATCTATGGATAAATTTGGGTATTTCAAAGCTGACATGATTCTAAAAGGATTGTAGGTGATAAACACAAAATTTTTTTTGGGGTTATCTTTTCTAGCTTCTCGAAGCACTATTTGATGCTTTGTTTCTAGCGATGTTTCTGGTAAGAAAATAAATGCCATTGCCATAACAATAAATCCAATTCCTGCTAATACAAAGAAAATAACACGCCAGGATGTAAAATTAACAATTATACCACCACCAACACTTCCTAGCGCCGTACCGAATTGAGCACCCATTATAATGATGCTCATGTACGTACCTCTTTCTGTCGGAACATATAAATCGCCAACGATGTGGGCACCAATACTGAAAAACGCAGTACCAAACAATGCTGTTAATGATCTGAATACAAAGAACATTGCAAGGTGAGGAGAAACTGCTACTAGAATAGAGCAGACTGAAAAAAGGCAGGAGCAAACCAAAAATGAAAACCTTCTTCCATAGATATCCGAAAAAGGCGAAAATACACATGGAGATAACGACATAAACACACAGTAGACGGCACTTGAAACATTAATGATTTCACCAGTGGTATTATATTCTTTAGCCATCTCAGGAATTGCTGGCAAAAATGCTAACAAGGACAAAGGCGATGAAAACCCTGATACGGCTGCAATGAAAATGCAGATCTTTTTCGTCTTAATACTAAATCTCTCAGGATTGTAATCTTTATTCTTCCCACTAAGTCTAGCACTTTTAGTTGTATTTTCATCGGTATCTTTCTCTAAATCCTTGTTTGTATACTTGGGTTTATTCAGTTCGTTATTCTTTTCCAGTACAAGTAACTTCGAATCAGTAGATCTTCTAGATTGTATTCTAGATAACAGCCGATAAACTGCTTCATCTGTAACATTGGTTAATTCCAATTGAATGGTCTCATTAAGCACGTTAGGTGTGTTTCATGGAATGACTCGTCAACCAGTTCTAACAGTGATATGGAATTGGTTGACATTTGATAGAAGTCTAGCAATTCATTATATAGCCTCCAGCATCTTACGGTAAAGTGTCAAACTGTGTCGTGCATATATATACATATAGATGTGAGTCAACTAATGTTCTAAATCCAGAGAATTGTTCTCTAATTCCCGGAGCGATGCCTCTCTCGATTGCATATAAATGTTCCAAAGCCACATAATATAAATATTCAAAAGATATTGGGACTATCAGCATTGGCTTAATACGATTATCTTTGATATTCTGGACAGGGTTCATCAACACTAATAATGGCCATCATTTTTAGACCTATGTCCCTAATCTTCGATTTTTATTTTACGGAGGCTTCTCGCAGGCTTATGGTTTCATGTATATGACTATCCTACTATTAGTATATTACCACATACACTTACTTATACCCATGTTATAAAATTTCCAAGTGCCTATATGACTATTTAAACTGTGAGGGCACGCAATTTTGCAACTTAATGAACTTACTGAGCATACATCAATGATTCATACACTAATCACGATTTATATCACAAATATATAAATTAGATAGTCGTTTAAGAAAATAACGTTTATATAAAGCAGTCTATGGGAGAAACATATTAAGTCCTTTCTACCTTCCTCCAGTCTATTTTAGATTTCCATTATAATAGTTAAATCGGCAATTCGAATTTACGACCAAATCTGACTCACTTGCCACAGGAACACAAACTATAATATTTGCATGAAGAAATATTCCGATGTCATTTCTATTGCAGCTACAATTGTGAGTAACTGTTATACCGCGATTTTATTCGTTAGCCCTTAAAACTTTGAAATAATGCCTAGTACTGAACGCATGCAAGTCTGTTGACGCAACGATGATTTCGAGGGTAATAACATGATTTTATCAATAGAAATTGAAATGATTCGGTTACCGGAAGCGGTCGATACTGAAAATTTTTTTTTAATGCGATGGGTTCAGAAAGAAAAAAAATATTATAAAAGGAATCGCGCGTGCCGGTAATGAATAAGATATAATTGTTTGTTCTTTCTTCCTCTCTCTCTCTCTTTCTCTCTCTCTTAACAATTGTCCATTCCCCAGTTTAATTGCTAATCTTGATTTAATTGTTACTATTACTTAGTGTGACATTGAAGTAAGTAATCGTTCTTTTACGAAACCTTCGGATTGTAAGTTATTGAATCGTTAATTGTTGAGAGATAAAATTTTTTGATTTAAACGTATTGTACATGTATCAAACTTCCTTCGCCCAAGATGCTTGATACTTGGCAACATATCGATATGTACCTTCATATTGAAAATGTAACAGTAATAGTTTTGAACAGGATTTTGTGTCATTTTCACGATTAGCGATGAGATGAAAATTCGACTTTTTTTTGATCTTTATCAGGAACCTTTTTATTAACCATTAGCTTATCTATTGCTTATTTTGAAGTTAATCTAGTATTTTAGTCCCCCCAATTAGAATACTTTATCTGCATATCCCCCAAAACATTTTTAATTTCATTATCGATTCATAAATTAGATAATACCTATTTCAAGAAACAGTAAGAAAGCAAGTGAGAAATGGCTCAAATCTCTAATCCAATTACTCCACCAATGAAGTCTACTGGTGACCGTATGATGACTTTGGAAACCCAAGATGGTATTGCCTTGCAAGGTTACTCATTTGGTGCTCCAGTTGCAGCAGCTGGTGAAGTTGTTTTCCAAACTGGTATGGTTGGTTACCCAGAATCTATTACTGATCCATCTTATGAGGGTCAAATTTTAGTTATCACCTATCCATTAGTTGGTAACTATGGTGTTCCAGATCGTTCATTGAAGGACGATGACGTTCCAGAATTACCAAAGTGCTTCGAATCCAACAAAATCCACATTGCTGGTTTAGTTGTTGCCCATTACACCGAAGAATATTCTCATTTCTTAGCCAAGTCTTCCTTAGGTCAATGGTTACAAGAACAAGGCATTCCTGCTATTTACGGTGTTGATACCAGATCCTTAACCAAAAGATTAAGAGAAAAGGGTTCTACTTTAGGTAGATTGGCTTTACAAAAGTCTTCTTCTATGAGTAGTGAAATTATTGAAACCTCAAAATGGGAACAACATTTTGAAATTCCTGAATGGGATGATCCAAATGTCAAAAACTTGGTTGCTAAGGTTTCTACTAAAGAACCAGTCTTATATACCCCAAAGAATGATGTAAAAGTTGGTAAGAATGGTAAGCCACTTAGAATATTGGCAGTTGATGTTGGTATGAAATATAACCAAATCCGTTGTTTCATCAGACGTGGTGTTGAATTAAAGGTCGTTCCATGGGATTATGATTTCTCGACTGAAGAATATGATGGTTTATTCATTTCCAATGGTCCAGGTGATCCATCTGTCATGACCAACACCGTTTCAACATTGCAAAAAGTTTTGGAAGCAGGTAAAACTCCGGTATTTGGTATTTGTTTAGGTCACCAGTTATTAGCTAGAGCAACTGGTGCCTCAACTTTGAAGTTAAAGTTCGGTAACCGTGGTCATAATATTCCATGTACTTCGACCATTTCTGGTAGATGTTACATTACTTCCCAAAACCATGGTTATGCAGTTGATACTAATACATTATCATCTGGTTGGAAGGAATTGTTTGTAAATGCCAATGATGGTTCCAACGAAGGTATCTATCATGACTCTAAGCCATATTTCTCGGTCCAATTCCATCCTGAATCTACTCCAGGACCAAGAGATACTGAATTCTTGTTCGATGTTTTTATCCAATCTGTTGTTGACTTCAACAAGTCCGGTGTTCAGAAAGCAGTCGAATTCCCAGGTGGCTTAGTCGAAGAAAATAGAGCTGCTCATCCAAAGGTTGATGTCAAAAAGGTGTTAGTTTTGGGTTCCGGTGGTTTATCCATTGGTCAAGCTGGTGAATTCGATTACTCTGGTTCCCAAGCTATTAAGGCTTTGAAGGAAGAAGGTATTTATACCGTGTTAATTAATCCTAACATTGCAACTATCCAAACTTCTAAGGGTTTAGCTGATAAGGTTTATTTCTTACCAGTTACCGCAGACTTCGTTAGAAAAGTTATCAAGCACGAACGTCCAGATGGTATTTATTGTACTTTTGGTGGTCAAACTGCATTAGGTGTTGGTATCAAATTGAAGGATGAGTTCGAAGATTTGGGTGTTAAAGTTTTAGGTACTCCTATTGATACTGTTATCACCACAGAAGATAGAGAATTATTCTCTCAAGCTATGGATGAAATCAATGAAAAGTGTGCTAAATCCGAAGCTGCAAACAATGTTTCGGAAGCTGTTGCTGCTGCAAATTCTATTGGTTATCCATTGATCATTAGAGCTGCCTACGCATTAGGTGGTTTAGGTTCAGGGTTTGCCGATAACGAGCAAGAATTAGTTGCTTTATGTAACAAGGCGTTTGCAACCTCTCCTCAAGTTTTAGTTGAAAGATCCATGAAGGGCTGGAAGGAAGTTGAATACGAAGTTGTTCGTGATGCTTTCGATAATTGTATCACCGTTTGTAATATGGAAAATTTCGATCCTTTAGGTATTCATACTGGTGATTCTATTGTTGTTGCTCCATCTCAAACATTATCTGATGAAGATTATAATATGTTAAGAACAACAGCTGTAAATGTTATTAGACATTTAGGTGTTGTTGGTGAATGTAATATTCAGTATGCTTTAAATCCATTTTCAAAAGAGTATTGTATTATTGAAGTTAATGCTAGATTATCACGTTCATCAGCCTTAGCATCTAAAGCTACTGGATACCCATTGGCTTACACAGCCGCGAAGTTAGGTTTGAATATTCCATTGAACGAAATCAAGAACTCTGTTACAAAATCTACCTGTGCATGTTTTGAACCATCGTTAGATTACGTTGTTGTTAAGATTCCTAGATGGGACTTAAAGAAATTTACCAGAGTTTCATCCTTGTTATCCTCTTCAATGAAATCTGTTGGTGAAGTTATGTCTATTGGTAGAACCTTTGAAGAGGCTATTCAAAAGGCTATTAGATCCACTGATTATCAGAATTTGGGTTTCAATAAGACTTCTGCCTTGATGTCAATCGATATTGATAATGAATTACAGACACCATCGGATCAACGTTTATTTGCTATTGCAAATGCATTATCAGATGGATACTCTGTTGAGAAGGTTTGGAAGTTAACTAACATTGACAAGTGGTTCTTGAACAAATTAGATGGTTTAATTAAATTCGGTAACTTAATTAGCTCTTACGGTGTTAAGGAAAATTTACCTGTTCCTGTTTTGAAGCAAGCCAAACAATTAGGTTTTGAGGATAGACAAATCGCAAAATTCTTAAACTCCAATGAAGTTGCGATTAGAAGATTAAGAAAAGAAGCAGGTGTTATTCCATTTGTCAAGCAAATCGATACTGTTGCTGCCGAGTTCCCAGCTTTCACCAACTACTTATATATCACTTATAATGCTGATTCTTCTGATGTTTCATTTGATGATCATGGTGTTATTGTCTTAGGTTCAGGTGTCTACCGTATCGGTTCTTCTGTCGAATTCGATTGGTGTGCAGTTAGAGCTATTAGAACCTTACGTGAAAATGGTACTAAGACAATTATGGTTAACTATAATCCAGAAACTGTTTCTACTGATTATGATGAAGCTGACAGATTATATTTCGAAACAATCAACTTGGAAAGAGTCTTAGATATTTACGACTTAGAACAATCATCAGGTGTGGTTATTTCTATGGGTGGTCAAACTTCAAATAATATTGCTTTGCCATTATACCGTCAAAATGTTAAGATTTTGGGAACTTCTCCAGAAATGATTGACTCTGCTGAAAATAGATATAAATTCTCGAGAATGTTGGATAGAATTGGGGTTGATCAACCAGCCTGGAAAGAATTGACCTCTGTCGATGAAGCTGAAGATTTCGCTGAAAAAGTTACTTATCCAGTTTTGGTTCGTCCATCTTATGTCTTATCAGGTGCTGCCATGAACACTGTTTACTCGAGAGACGATTTAGCTTCTTATTTATCTCAAGCTGTTGATGTATCTCCTGATTATCCTGTTGTTATTACCAAATATATTGAGAACGCAAAGGAAATTGAAATGGATGCTGTTGCGAAGGACGGTAAAATGATCATGCATGTTGTCTCTGAGCACGTAGAAAACGCTGGTGTTCATTCAGGTGATGCTACTTTGGTTGTACCACCTCAAGATTTAGACCCAGAAACTGTTAGACGTATCGTTGAAGCTACGGCAAAGATTGGTAAGGCTTTAGATATTACTGGTCCTTATAATATTCAATTCATCGCTAAAGATAATGATATTAAGGTTATCGAATGTAACGTCCGTGCTTCTCGTTCCTTCCCATTTATTTCTAAGGTTGTTGGAACTGATTTAATTGAAATGGCCACTAAGGCTATTATGGATATGCCACTCACTCCATACCCAGGTGAAAAATTACCAGAAGATTATTGTGCAGTAAAGGTTCCGCAATTCTCTTTCTCACGTCTTGCTGGTGCTGATCCTGTTTTAGGTGTTGAAATGGCTTCGACAGGTGAAGTTGCTACTTTTGGTAAGAATAAATATGAAGCTTATTTGAAATCATTAATTTCGACTGGTTTCAAATTACCAAAGAAGAACATTTTATTCTCGATTGGTTCTTATAAAGAAAAACAAGAATTATTACCATCGATTAGAAAATTACACGAGTTAGGCTATAAGATCTTTGCAACTGCTGGTACAGCAGATTTCATCAAAGAGCATTCAATTCCTGTTCATTACTTAGAAGTTTTGGGTGACAAGGAAGATCAAAAATCAGAATACTCTTTAACTCAACATTTGGCCAACAATTTGATTGATATGTATGTTAATTTACCATCTTCGAACAGATTCCGTCGTCCTGCTTCTTATATGTCTAAGGGTTACGAATCTCGTCGTATGGCAGTTGATTATTCGATTCCATTAGTCACCAACGTTAAATGTGCCAAATTATTAGTCGAAGCGCTCGCTAGAAACATTTCGTTAGAAGTTTCCGAAATTGATGCTCAAACTTCTCACAAGACTGCTGTTATTCCAGGTTTAGTTAATATCAATTCGTTTGTTTCTTCATTTGATGAATTTGAAGCTACCACTCGTGCATCATTAGCATCCGGATTCACATTCAATACATTCTTACCTCAAACTTCGGATTGCTCGACTGTTTCAAACATCGAAACTTTAGCTGATGCTATTGAGTCAGCAACAAATTCTGCTTACACCGATTTCTCATTATCAATCGCTGCTTCTGAAACTAACTCGGAAGAAGCTGCGCATGCAGCTGAAGATGCTGGTGCCTTATTCATTCCATTCAATGACTTCAACAAGTCTAAAGTTTCAGCTATTTCATCACACTTTGCTTCATGGCCAGAAAACAAAGCGATAATTACTGATGCAAAGACAACCGATTTAGCATCAGTATTATTGTTAGCTTCCTTACACTCCAGGTCAATTCATATAACTGGTGTTTCTTCAAGGGAAGACTTAGGCTTGATTATAATGGCCAAGGAAAAGGAATTACAGGTTACTTGTGATGTTTCTGTCTATGCATTATTCTTGTCTCAAGCTGAATTCCCACAATTAGACTTCTTGCCAACTAAAGAAGATCAGAATGCATTATGGAGTGGTTTAGAAAATATTGACTGTTTCTCCATCGGTGTCTTACCATATTTAGTCTGCAAGGCTCTTAATAAGAAGTTCTCTCCTGGCTTAGGTACAAAGGAAACCTTGCCATTATTATTCAATGCTGTCAAGGAAGGTCGTCTTACAACACAAGATATAGTTGAGCGTTTCCATGACAATCCAGTTAGAATTTTTAACATTCCTAAACAAGAATCTTCAGTTGAATTTGACATAGATAGGTTAGCTGCTTCTACAAATGATTCTGAAGTATTGACTATCGCAAAAGCTAATTTACAAGGTGCTGTTAATCGTGTTTCTTTCCATAACGAAACCGTTTGTTTGGGAGGCGAAATCTTAGCTGTGAAAGCTTTGGGCCATAATGGAGTTGAACCAAGAGCTAGGTTTGGATCTGTCACAGGTATTCCTTCATCTCCAGCATTAAGTAATAAAAAAGCTAGAATGTCATTCAATGAAGGTGCTCGTCGCCCATCACTTCTTAGAGAACAATCATCTACACCAGCTGAATTCGAAAAATTAGGTGCTGAATTAGTTTCTCAACCTCCAAGTGGTTCAGTTAGTGGAGATAACAATGCATTGATTAATTACATCAGAAAGAATAATACTTTCTTGCGTAATTCTGTCTTGTCTGTCAAAGATTTCACTCGTTCTGACTTACATTCTTTATTCACTGTTGCTCAAGAAATGAGATTGGCTGTTGAAAGACAAGGTGTTTTGGACATATTGAAAGGTAGATTATTAGCCACTATGTTCTACGAACCATCTACTCGTACTTCAGCTTCATTTGACGCAGCTATGCAAAGATTAGGTGGTAGAGTTGTTTCAGTTGCATCAGCATCTTCCTCAGTTAAAAAGGGAGAAACATTACAGGATACAATCCGTACTTTAACTTGTTATGCTGACGCTGTCGTTTTGAGACATCCATCTGAAGAATCCGTTGATGTTGCCGCCAAGTACTCACCTGTTCCAATAATTAATGGTGGTAACGGTTCTAAGGAACACCCAACTCAAGCATTATTAGATTTATTTACTATCAGGGAAGAATTAGGTACTGTGAATGGTATTACCGTAACCTTTATGGGTGACTTGAAATACGGTAGACCAGTGCATTCCTTATGCCACTTATTACGTCATTATCAAGTCAGAATTCAATTGGTTGCGCCAAAGGAATTAGCTATGCCTGAAAACATCAAGAAAATGTTACAAGACAATGGTATGTTAGTTCTTGAGTCAGAAGTCTTAACCCCAGAAATCATTTCTAAGTCTGATGTCTTATACTGTACCAGAGTCCAAGAAGAAAGATTCGAAGATAAGGAACAATATTTGAGATTAAAGGACACATACATTGTTGACAATAAGATCTTATCTTATGCTAAGCAACACATGTGTGTCATGCATCCATTACCAAGAACTAATGAAATTAGGGAAGAAGTTGACTTTGACCAAAGAGCCGCCTATTTCAGACAAATGAGATACGGATTGTTTGTCAGAATGGCCTTATTAGCCATGGTCATTGGTGTTGATTTCTAAGTGAGAAAAGTTTAACAATAGGGGAATTGTTTTTAGACTTCTCATGATTAGTTTATTCAAAAGTTAATTTTTTTTGTTAAATACAATATATAAAAGGAAAAAAAAGTTTTAGAAGTGACTCTATATTGGTTACTATTTTGGTTACTATTTTGGTTACTATTTAGTTTAAATAACATTTTTCGGGGGAATAATGTGATTCTACTACTATAGTTTGTTTATACGTATTTTTATATTTAATACATAATTACCATATTATCCTATACACATACGTAGATAATTTACATAATATACACTTAATTATTGTCTTTAGAAAACATATTGTTTTCATCATCAGTTCTTTTCAGATCACCATTCTTCTCGTTATTATCATTATTGGAACTTTGATTTTGTAATTCATCTACATCCTGATGGTGTCCTTCTTCTTGAACGTCCTCATTGGCTTGAATTAACGCCCTTGCAATTTCAATTTCTTCTCCTGCAGAATCAACATGGTGATCGAACGCGCTCACTTCAGGATCAACGGGTATGTTATTATTATTTCTGTTTCTTTCTTTAGAGTTACCGCTGTTGTTGTATCCTTGATTATCATTCGAGTCCTGATGATATTCATGATGATTAGTATATTCATTTTGATAGTGTTGGTAGTGATTTGAATCGCCAGCAACCGCGGCAGCTGCAGCGGCTGCGTATGTTGGGTGGTGCTGATGATTTGGATTTCCCTGTTGTTGCGATCTCTGTGCTGCCTCAACAGCTGCTATAATTCCATCGTCTAAACCAGATAAATCGTGGGTTAACAAACTTTCAGCAGCATCATGACGATGATGACCTGGTAAGTTGTGTAATTGAGCAGCGGCAACCATAGCATCAACATCATCGGCACTGTTTCTTGATTTCAAAATATTACGAGCATTTGGATTGTTTGGTTGTGAGTGTAATACCTTATTATTCCTGCGAATGATAGAGTTACCAGTTGCCATCTTCTTTGGAATCGTACTGCGTTTGAGTAAGGGCGGATCCTTGGCAGGATCCCTGCATTCTGGGCAATTTTTGATCGCAGTAGCCACTGTATCCTTTATTCTCGTCCAATGATACTTTTCGGTTACAACTGCAGTCGTCTTATTAATACCACCATGATTGGTCATATGCACCTCTGTACAAATCTGCAATTGTCTAACTGGATCAGCTATGACTTGTCTGCCCTTCAACATCAACTTGCCGTTTTCCAATCGATAGTGCGACGCAGATGACCTCAATCTTGACTTCTCCTGTCTATCGGCCATGGCAGGATACCTTCCGGTCTCCAAGTAGAACTTGATTTTATCAAATCTATACGCACCAATCGCAGGATCGGAATTGTTGATCAACTCTCTACCGTAAACGATAGCATCGACCGCCGTATCATGTCCTTTCAAAATACCGGCCGACTTGACCCTACCGATTCGCTTGAAATTCAACGATTCCCAGATCTTTCTTGCAGCTGCATTCGACTCAAACACAAGGTTGAAAATCGAGTACGTGTACCCCAACCGTGGCGCCCACTGCAAATAACAATCGGCCAACGTCCGTCCAATTCCCTTGCCTCTGATCCCAGCATTAACCAAAAACCCCGCCGTACATATATGCGAACACCGTCCCGGATAGTTTGGCTTGATATGAAACGTCCCCAAACATTCCTTTTCCCACTGTCTCGACCCTTCGAGCGTCGGCGAATCCCCTAGCACCATCACTGCTGCAAAAGACCCAAACCAGTAATTCTGAAACGACTCGATGTGAAGCGTGTCAAAAAACGGGAACGTATCCCCCCGTTCGATCTCCATGTTGAATTCATCACAGAGAAACGCCAATAACCCCGGCGGCAACTCGTTGGGTGTATGCATCGGATAAATCGTAGCTGTGGTTTCCCCATCTTTAAGCAAAACCGTATACCGATCGATAACTGTAACTGGATTATATTCTAATTGAGGTCGAAAATGCGGTGGTTGCATCACATCATCAAACTCTGCCATATTGCCTATCACTTATACTCAACACCGACTATTCTACCTACTATTAACCTATATGTTGTATATGATATTAGTGTAGATATTATACTGTCTGTGTATATTATAGAATGTAAACAAAATGGTAGTTTGATGATTAAGAGGAAATGACGAGTGATGCTCAGAAAAGGCGTTTTGTGTCACTACTTCCCAATCGGGACAATGTCGCAATGTCGCAGTTATACTAGGTCCTTACCATACATATATGCTCCCACTAGGTTCTGGTGGCCCTTCAACACGGCCACGTTCTTGACATAGCCAATGCGGTCGAAACCAAGCGAGTCCCAGATACGCAAGCTTGCTACATTGGTTTCAAACACCAAATTGAAGACCGAGTACACGTATCCCAATTGGGCCCCCCACACTAAGTATTTGGCACCCATTTCCTTGCCTAGCCCTAAACCTCGCTTCTCATGGTTGACCACAAAGCCCGCGTTGCAGACGTGCGAGCATCTTCCCGTGTAGTTGGGCTTGACGTAGAACGTTCCCAAAAAATGGGATCTCCAGAAGTCTTCGGGTTGGTCCTGCAAGTCGGGATCTGATAACGATTGGTGGTCACCTTCGATGAGAAGGGCCACGAACGCGGAAAACCAGTACTGGACAAATTGGTCGAGGTCCATGGTTTCGTGGTAGGGGTATGTTGTTCCCTCTTCGATGACGTAGTTGATTTCGTGCTGGATGACCTTGAGTAGAGTTTTGGGGACTTGGCTAGCGTCGTGGACGGGAAATAATGTCACTTTTCCAGTAGGGTCCTTTGCGAGGGAAAATGTGATTGGTTCGGTGATTTTGGGCGTGATTTTGATATCCTTATTGGCGAAAGGTAAATCCTCCAACCGTTTGTAAGTCTCCTCGTCCACAGTCATGATGACGTGCTATTATATGGGGGCCAGCTGTGAGTACCTGTTTTTGCAGAGCTGGTGTTTATGACTAACGGCTTAGGAAACGATCGGGTCTGAAAAACTCACAGGGTTACCCGGAGTTAATACATTACTGGTGATGCTCCCCATCAACAATAAGCCATAAAGAACCGTTAGTACTACCGTTGGATTACACGGATAAAATACCAGTTCGGAGGTCATTGATAAGAGATTAAGGCTGCCAGAGCAGACATATGATTCAGGATGGAAGATCACAAGCGAAATGGGATTTTCAATGATAGTATGTTAGTATTTTGATTTATGTCTAAAGGTTAGAGTGGAAAACAGATATACTAACAAATGAACCAGGTTTAAGCAAAAGAGACAAAAAACGTCAACAAATAGGCTCGCGGTTGGGTAAGCTAGATGTTATGTTCAGTAGTGACAGAGATAACTTCTATAAGACACTGCTTCACAACTTGCAGAATACCCTAGCGACACTACAACAAGGAGCCAACGAAAACTATTTGGATAAGAAGGAAACCTTGGAAGAAGAGCGTGATTACGAGTTGACTAGGCTCAGACTATGGGAAGAATACCAGGTGAAAAGAATCGAGGAGGAATATAAAGAGGATTTGATCAAAGCACAGGAAAATCACGACAAGATGATCAAGTTGATCAAAGAGAAGCTATACGATAAGCTCCAGAAGAAGATAAAACAATTGAAAGAAGATAAGTTATTGCTTAACTTGGTGAATGCAAACTCGTGGAGCTCAAATACTGCCAACGATTCGTCTACGGCTGCATTGAATGCTGCGGCCGCTAACACGTTGAACCTTGCGGATAGACGGTCGCTCAGAAAGCGAGAATTGAGCTCGAGACTCACGGCTGGCGAAGCAGACGAGTTGTCGGATGGGGGTTTGGGCTCAACAACTGCCACCGGAAACGTCTCGATGGCCAATGGATATATATCTCTGTCAGGAAAGCGGAGAAGACATTATGCTACAAGATACTCATCGAACGACGAAATGTCTTCCGGAATCACCAGCACAGCTGCTAGCAACAAGAACAGTAATGGTAATGGTCATAGTACGCTTCACAACAATGGGGTAGGGAGTGGAAATGAAAGCAACTTGAGCGATAAAGACTACGATGCATTGAACACATTGATCATGGGTAATGAGGATGGCGGCGTTTCGTTGGTACTACTTGATGATGCACAGATAAATTCTAATAGGCCTAATACTCGAGGACTAAACAAACAATTCACTGGGTTACAGGGGTTAAAACCTGAAGAATTAAATGATGATTTGACGTTATTACGAAATGCAATTGTTAAAAAGGAAAAGTAGTATTTTCCATCCCACTTGCATAAATGACCGTTTAATTCTTCTAGGCGTGCCGACCCATTCTTTAGTATATATTTATTCATAGACCCTTTGTAACTAGTATTTTCATTTCAACTAATGTATTCATTGAATTATTAAAAGAATTTGGCAAAACCTTCAGCTAATTCCCCGAATGAATGGAGGCTGAATTTTACACAATGTAGAATTCTATAGACATGGCTTTTTATTTTATTAAATGCAGAGAGACTTTCAGGTCATCGACTAATACGTCTTGGTTACTTTAATCCATTCAAGACCAATATTTTTCCATAATTACTTGTTGTAGAAATTATTACACAATTGACCTTCGTATATCAGAAAATGAAGTAATTATTCGTCGAGACGATCAACAGCCAAATGTATTTTTACACGTTCTGATTCCTATTACGGAGTTTCAGCTTTGACTTTCTTTCTTGCGTTCCAATAACGTCAGCCTCTATATCAGAATTATTTTGAATTATGGAGCTTTCTTGCGATTTTATTTCATCCATTATTTTCAAATTCTTGATGGTCACCTCGTCAGCTACTGGAGAATCTAACATCTGTAATTCTTCTAGTGGAATAATTAATGGCCAGACCCATTTCGCACATATTGCTAATAGTAAGAGAACCCCAGGAAATCCAATTGTACCTTTTGTTAGGGTTATAGCAAATTCAGCCCCAAACCCTAGAATTAGTAGTACTAAATATACGTAGAACCATTTTTTGTTAGGGTA